ATATTTAACCACCTGGTTTTAAGAACAGTGTATGCCCACCCATCTCAAAATTGTTCAAGAGTTGAATCTCTTCTTTGCCCTCAGTAAATCCGTTACTAGAATAGGGCACACCAAAATTTAATATTTAAATTAAATATCCCATTTAATATTTTCGCCATTTAGTTTCCCAAAAAATGACACAGCCTCCAGTTTTATGTGCATATAGTTTAGGCAAGCTGGTAGTGTTCTGTCCTGTCTGCACTTAAAAAGGGTTTAGCGCTACAGATAAACTGGTAGAGCTATATTGGCAAAACACCCATAGTGCAGAAGCATCTTTATTAAAAATTCTAATGGAAGATGTTAATCAGTTAAACATTATGTTTAACCAGTTAACTGATCAGGAAGGCAGGATACAGGTTGCAGTGGCCCCCTTCAGCCTGCCACAGACTGCCTGGGAGACACAGTCTGATCCAGGCCCACCACGGACAGGGGCTGCTCCAGTCCCTACCAGTTAACTAGAACCAGTAAGCCTCACCCATTAATGGTGAGGCTTACCAGTTAACCATTCACATGCCTAATGCTGATAAACTTTTCTAGTGCAGATCAGGCCAAACATTTTGCTTCTCTACATGACTAAACTCTTCAACATCATGAGTGTGTCGCATTCAAAATGACCTTCATTAGCTGTAAAACTCACTCTTCATATTTCACATGATATAGGATATCTTCTTCAGCAGCAGTTGATTGCAGTTCAGACTCTGTATCACTATCACTGGACTCATTTTCTGCCTTCTCTTTCCTGGTCACATTTACAATCTGGGCTTCAAACCATGCTCCCATGTTCATATCCCGAGCATCTACAAACTCATTGATCTAAACAAAGCAAAAGTTAATTTTGAAGAGATAAGTCTGTAACTTTGTTAAGCCACACTACAGCAGTGGTGGGCAACCTCATGCCAATCAAGTTAATCCACTGACAGGCCACAAGACATATTGCTAATATTAACTGTCAATGGGCATGGACTGGCACAGTTCCCAGTAGCCACTGTGTGCCATTCCTGGCCAACAAAAGCTGCAGGAACCAGCACAGACCACAGGGCTTCCCCCATTGGCTGGGAATGGTGAACCACGGCCACTGGATGCTCAGGGAGGCTGTGCCCGCAAACAGTCAACATCATCAATATGTCTCTCAGCCCACCAGTAAATTATCTTGGACTACGGGTTGCCCACCAGCGCAGTAGAGTGGCTTACTCTGGATTACCTTGATGGGCTGCATGTGGCCTACAGGTTGCCCCCATTGCTCTACAAGATTCAGTTTTTTGGGAAATGTAACTGGACACTTAATTTATGTTTGAATTCTTGATGGCTCCACAGCACATCCTGATTTTCTCTCCCACTCGAATAGGGTCAGGAATTGTCCTAACACACGTCTTTTGCATCATCAAGCACACAACAGTGTTTCATAGATAAATGCTGCTAGTAAATAATTTAGGACAGCCTTACTAAACAGTTATTGCTTATACTGAGTTGATAAACACTCATATGTTAAATTCCATTGTAAAAGCTCAGAAAAAGGTACCTGTTCGAAGCAGTTTTGCAAGGCTAGTTTTAGAAAGAGCTTTTGCTGTTCATTTCTGGCTAATACTTTCTACTAAAGAAAGGAATCTGGTGTACACTCACCTTATAGAGTCCAAAACCTGGATCAACCCAGTCAGCCTGAGCTACTGTACTAGGCTGACACTCCAACTCCATTGCACCCTCTCCGTTATTGGAGTTCTTATCAGATTCACTCTGGCCGGAGCCACAGCCAGAGTCTGTATCTGAGAGTTCCAAATCCTTCTCTTTACTAATAGCAGGAAGCATAGCAGGTCTCTGTCTTACAAGTAGCTGCACAATATCATTCAATCCAACACTGTAGTCAAAGAGGGAGTGTCCGTCTTCCATCTACAGGATAAATTCAGAAATTAATCTAGTTAATTTATATTTTAAAGGCAACTCAAAACTGCCTTTGATTACATTTTCAGGATAAAGTGACTTGAAAAGCATTAACAAGAATTAAGCAATATTTGTAATTTTCAAACATTTATGGATATGTACTAGATTTTCCTTCTAACTAAGGATGTGAAAGTGTAACTACATATGCACAGGTACTGACTATCAGATATAGCAACTTGGGAGAAGGAGGCAGATGGGAGCCCACTACCACGCCCCGCCCCACGCTGCTGCCCTTCTATCAGGGGAGCTGACTGCTGCCCTGCACGAACCCATTTAACTGCTGACATTCTCAGTGATTACACAGTTACTTAAATGCATTTTAACAGTCTTAATTCTTACCGTTTGGAAATTTGTTCATAAAACAAACACATACAAGTACTGGGGAAAAGAAGTCCATCTGTGCCAGTAGTTCTCAAAGTGTGGTCCACAACAGTCTTGCAGGCAGGTCACAGGCTTGCCCTCACACACCACAGAAGGGAGCCTGTGCTACCACTCCAGCTCTGCCTCTCTCCCCCACAAGACTGGGGCACTAGTGCTGGCTTCCCACTGTGGGAGACCAGATCCAGCTTGCAGGAGGAAGCACACTACCGCTCCTCTTTTTTCCCCCCCAACTGGGGGAGCAGCAGCACAGGAAATGGCTAGCCTAGAGGCTTTCCCTGCTGTTCTCATTGGCCAAAATCATGGGAGCAGTGGGATGTGTGGAACTAAATAAGCATTCCTTATGCCCAGACGCCACATCCCCCTCATCCACATGTGCCCCCTCCCCACTGAGACCCTGCACCCTCAGCCTGTTCCCGCACCCAACCTCCGGGCCAGATCTCCCCAATCTCAGCCCACTCCTGCAACCATTTCATCATGATGGGTGGTCGGCTAGTGGTCTGTGGAAAGATCTGCAATAAGTGGGGTGAACCACAGGCCAAACAGTTTGAGAACCATTGATCTTTGCTGTGGTAGAACTGCTGTACTGGCCAAGTCATTCCACTTTCCTCAGGTTCTGAATGTCAGTGTAAAACTGACCAGTTTTAATTTCACTTTGCAGCTTTGTTCAGAAATACAGCAGCAGTTGTAGACTGATTCCAGTGACTACAACTCAGAAAACTGAAGGAAAGTAAAATTAAAAAGTTGCACAGCACAGTGGCAAAACTGACTCGACTACATAAATAGTAATAAAAGATACAGATGACCAGATACATCTATACCTCTTAAAGTTCTTGAAATTGTTAAATTATTATTATTCCACATTTAAGGCATAAGACTTGATGCTGCTGCAGTTAGACAAGCTTCACCACATATTTAAGGTCTGACTAATAGAAATTCTACAGGAAATCATCATCCAACCCAGCCCAAACCACCAAAAAAAGTGATCCTCAAAGCTGTGTTCTCTATCAGCGGGAAACAAGTTAACCACAAAAACTTACACTTCAGAAGAATCACTGAGAATTCAATTATGATTTATGGCATAAAATAACTATGGGGATACCACTTGAAATGTGGATAGAACAGCAACAGTCAAGTTATTTCCTGTGCAGAGATGAAGAATCATAACACTAATCAAACCCATAAGTCGAGAATCAGCAGAATCTTTGTATACTTACTCTAGTAATAGTATCACAAGTGACATTGACTAGTAATTAGTATCAGAAGAACAGTACAGAGAAAACCAAAAGGACAATTTAAAGAAAAGAGCAGCACAGAATGAAAGAACATGCACAAGGAACAGACACAAGACTGGAGGAACAGACACAAGATTGGAAAGTGCCAGATGACATGCTGAAAACAGCAACATCAGTTGCAAAGCTGCAAATGCTTTATTATTGGAGGTTTTCTTCCCCATCCATCATTTTCCAGTATGAATCAGATCACCACAATTGTGACAGATTTCGAGTCAGGAAAGATTGGGAAGGGGAAACTCACTCTAAAACATATCCACTTCTGGCTGAAGGCTAGAAAACAGCCTCTCAGCTTTCCAGTGAAACTCCAGTACATCAGCACCACACTCCTGCTCCACTGCACACATTCTGAGAATTTAGCGGCTAGAATGTTGGGCAGTTTATATTGAAGAGACCCAAATTATTTCCCACAGACAAGTGGCAAGTATTCCTTTTAAAACAGTAAGGCTTTTTTGTTTGAACAGAAGGCAATAACCATAATTGAGGGAAAAAACTGATTATATACATTGCTAAAGCAAAAATTTAGTGTAAAATAAAGGATTCTTTGGTCTCCAAGAATTCTAGTTTCCAATTAACCAAATTGAAGTTTGCATGAAGCTTTAGAATATAACAGTGACGCAAATCAGTCTAGGATATGAGCCATGATTCTTAAGCTTATTTTACATAAAAATCAGTTAGTCATAAAAATAGCTTCTTGTGGAAGGAAAAATATTCTTGTTGCACCACTGTAATATCCTGTGCAATGTTAGGAATGTAAGATTACTGAATCACTGAAGACTGCCAAACCAAAGTTTAACTTGATAGCAGCTACACGTGATTTAAAAAAAAAAAAAAGAAGTTCTGGTATCTAAGGTTTTATGGAGACCAACTACTTCCTGTGAATCAATGCCTTTATAACCCTTCAGAGCAGTAAAACATCCATGACTTGAAATCAGTACTGAACTTATCAGTCGGAGATAATCACAGATCCTAGTAAAATCTGATTCTTAGCTAGCATGTGGTTTTACCAACTCAGTAACTACCTTTTTCTTATAAGCACCCTCCGGCCAACTAAAATGGAGCTGTTCTACTTTGGATAAATACCAAGATGTTGCACCAGGATTAGGAATAAATCTGTTTTTCAGATGCCAGATAAACAGATTAAATCTAGGAGTCAAGTCATCTACTTTATGGCAATGACCTGTTCTCAGCTATTTACACAAAGTACTTACACTAGAGATGTTAGCTAGTAGTCAAGTAGTTGACCCAATAAGCATAAGCTTATCTAGTAGTTGAGTAGAGTATCAATTATTCGCTTCTCTCTTGCTGCCTCTATGAGAAGCAGCAAGTGAGAGGGAAAGACAGGAGCAGATACTGAGGGGAGCCAGTTTAAAAGCTGGTTTCGCCAAGCATCATCTCCGCACAGCTGCCTGCCCCGCCCTGCTGCCTCTATCGGGCAGCAGGGGCTAGCCATGGACAGGGACTGCAGGACTCAACATGAGCAATCCTGGATTGCTCTGGTCCAGGATCCTGCACCTCTGCATTTCAAATGTAGTAAGAGCCCAGTGGCTCTTACTACATTTAAAATGCTGAGCTCCAGCGCAGGTGGCTCACAGAGTCAGCACAAGCCGGGACTGCTAAAGCCTGCTCCACATAGCTGTAGCTGGGACTGATCAACGATCATGTAGTTGATACAAATTATCGACTACACAATTAGCCAGATAACCGCAATTTAAAATTGTTAACTTACACACAACAGGTTGATTGCCAACAATATTAATGGGTGCACACAACAGTAAATACGGAAAACATTAAAACATCCACTGTTTCTAATTAGCAGTACTAAAGTTATCCAGAATTAACTGATAAGCTCTGAACAAAAGGAACTGATCTGTTTGCCTGCATTCTCAGGAAAATGCTACAGCTGGTTTACAGCCTATGAGGTATTAAAATCTTAAGACTCACCCACACATGAACATTATTTCAGAATAAGATGCGTATTTAAAATTGAGTATGTATTTCTGAGTAACCTGCACACATTTATTTTAAATTAGCAAGATAAACCAGAAGAGGGCACTCTTATGCTGAAAGAAGAGCATCCATACATTGAACTATTTCTGAATAGCTCAGTGTGTGGACAAGCCCTTGGATAAATCTGTAAATCACACTTCATCATACCTATACAATTGCACTGAATTCAAATTAAGTTTAGGGGAGTTAATCAACTCATGCTCCAAATGGATTAAGGTTCATATTGAACAGACCACAACTACATTCCCACCCCAATACATTTATACAGTCAATGCTGAACTAAAATGGAAATAAACACTGATTTTTAATATGACCATTGAAACCAACACTGATTGTATACAGAAGTATTATCCCCTAAGTTTCCAGCAAGGATGTTAAAATGTGTTTATTTTGTAAACATGTAACTGCTGAAAATTGGGGGGGAGGGGCGGAGGAGGGCAGGAGCTGGTGCTCCTGGGGACTAAAAGCTTTTAGCCAGCTCCCTACAAGCACCAACTCCTGCCTCCACATAACACACGCTGCTGCAAGGCAACAGCATGGAGGGAGAGCAAGCGGCTCCACGGATATAAGCAACAGCAGTGCCAGAGGAAGCAGACAGCTCGGTAGGAGCTGGTATGCACACGGAGCCAGCTTCTGCCTGCCTCCCCCCTGCTGCCTCCGTAGGAGACAGCAGCATGGGGTAGGGAGGCAGCTGCATATGCAGGGAGCCAGTTTGAAAGCCAGCTCCCAGCTCCTCCTCTCACCCATTCCCACGCTGCTGCCTTTGTATCAGGCTCATCAGTTAATGGAGTACACGTTCACATCCCTAATTACAGCAAGTAAAACCAAGCACCATCTCTAATAGAATATGCCAATCAAAGTATAATGTCTAAGGAGAAAAAAAAAAATCACTAGATGGCAGCATAATCCAGCTTTAAAAACAAAATGACTCCAGCTGACAAATTTGGCACTGTACTTCCCATTTCAATCACTACATTCAACTCAAATGTGGTGTTAACCAGCCCCTTTTTGTTTACATTAATTCACTGGTCTCTTTAACATAGTGCCAAAACTGGTCACTGCTGCTAACCACATACCCTTGCTGTTTTACACCTAATACCATGTAGATCTCACTATGACAACTTAAAAAAACAAACTAAAACACACACACACACACACACACACCCGCACTCCCCAATGGTCCGATTGCACCTTAAAGACCAACAAAAAATGGTATCAGCAGCTTTCATGGACACATCCCACTTCTTAATGGCAGGGAGGCTGTCCAATATACCAAGATACTATTTCCCCCACATTTTAATGCTCAAGGCTCCAATAGGGTAGGTCTTCACAACATAAAAGCTGTGTTTGATTTACTATGGATACCATCTGGACTGATTAACACCTGGGTCCCCTCAGCTCTCTAAAGTGAAGTGGAAGGGGAGTTTACACTGCTTTGCCATGAATTACCACTCCTGGTCTCCTCAGACATATTCCCAATTATATTTTCTGAGTGCTACAACTAGTCACTTATGATTTACACTGAAGAGCAACACTAATGAACTCCCAATCCCAGACTTTTCTCTAGCTCTCTTCTGGACAATACAAGTTCACAAATAAAGTCCATAGTTTTATTAACAGAAAACAATATACACAAATCCTGTTAAATAGAGTTTCCCCAACACTTCAGTCCAAACATACTGGTTTAGATCAAGTAGAAAAGCAAGCTTTTTATCTAAAAAAAATTAAGTAATGCGAGGCATAAATCAGAATTGATTTCAAGAAAATGCAAGTAACACACAACTAATACATAACAAGTGAATTCAAAGCAAAGATCTGTGGTAGATGGTCTAAGAGTCTTAGTAATTGAAATTCTATAAGTCAGTATCCCTGCCCCAGTCCAAAACTTTCCTTTGTTCTTCAGATATTGTAGATGTTATGGGTAGAGAAAGGGAAGAATAATTTGGGGCATCTCCCTCCTTATACAATAGTTCCCTCTCTTCCTCAAGAAAGATCTCCAGCTGAGACGTTGCCTCCTGAACCTATCTGCACAAGAATCCCCAGCTGTTTTATGAAGATTTTAGATTTTCACCCACTCTTTTCCTGCCAAAGAATGGACCCATCACCTCATTAAGAGGAGATTTTATTTCCCGGTTACCTGGCTGCTCTTCCCAGACATGAAACAAATCTTCCACTCCATATCCTACCACTTTACACACAATGTTGCCACACATTCTGCCAGTACAGTAATCAGAAAACTGTCAGTTTTCAAACGAAGCCACACACCAGTACAAGATTCACCACAGTTCTGTAAAAGGGTGAAATAAGGGGTAGCGTGTGTCTAATGGGAACACTATTTTTTTCGTCCGTGAAGACAACGCCACATACCTTGACCAATATTAAGGTGCATTCATCTCTCAGCCAGCTCGAATACTTAACTACAAGGTCAATACTCCAGTGAGCGCCCAGTTAACACGCGCCTTAGACGTGTTTCTGTCATTTGAGCGTAATTTAAGGCAGGGTCCTTGCCCGAGGCGGTGCAGCCCGGGGGGCAGGGAGGAGATTGGGAGGGGTCTTTCGGAGGGCGCTGGCTCGTTACGTGGATAAAGGGCCTGGAGTGGGTACCTGTTTGCCCCGGTAGAAGAGGCGTTGCCGGTCGGGTTCCACGCCGAACACCTCGTGGATCCGCAGCCGCAGCTCCTCCACCTTGGTGAGCTTGGAGAGCGAGTCCACCCGGTGGGTCTCCTTGCCGTCCATGGTGCGCACCTGGATCCACATGGCGGCGGCTCTGCCCAGGAGAAAGGGGGGAGCGGGTCACGCACCTCGCGGCAGGGACGAGCCGGGATGGGGGCGGCGAGACTCCGCTCCGGGGGGACACTGCCTAGGCACCATCCCGCCTCAGCCCTTCCCGCCCGGCCACAGCCCGGGTCCGCGGAGCTCTGCCCCAGGGCCCGCCTCCCCAGCGCCGGCCGGACCCCCCCGACCTCACCGCGGCCCCTTCCCCCGGCTGCTCGCTCCCGTCCCAAACACCCACCTCAGCCACAAGTCGAGGCCAAGCCAGCGTGGACGACGGCGACTCTCTGGGGCTACTTCAGCCACCGAATCAATGAGACCTCTCACCCTAACGCTCTCCCCTTCGAACAGCCCGCCCGCTCCTCCTACAGCATTGGCTCGTAGCCGGCCGGCCTCAACGCCGATTGGCCCATGGCCCCTAAACGCCCGCCCCCGCAACCCAGCCGGTTAGGCTGTGTCCGGCCAGCCGTCTCCCTTCTCGCGGGCGGGCGCCGCGCGCCAACTGTATCTCGCGCCACAATTGAAACGCTTTCCTCAGTCTCGCGGAGTTCTCTCCCCCCCCCTTTCCCAACATATCGCGTGATTATGTAAATCACAAGAGACAGCTGCAAGGCTTTAAAGGGGCCGCTCTACTAGAGGATTAAAGAAGGGGTGCAAGGGCTTAGCGCATGGAATAATGAATGTGCAATCTGTCTCCCCCACTCTCCCCTTTATATTTTGCAACGTTCCTTAGCCTTCATAGAGGGCATGTTTTATAGCCTGACAGCATCTAGGGATAGGACACTCCCTTATCCTTAGTGCGTTGTCTGCTTGCCCCCGGGGCAAGTTTCTGGTTTGGACATAACTACACAGCGCATTGCAAATGAGAACTCATACCAGGTGCAAGCGCAAACCAAGCCATTACAAAGAAGGAGAGCGTTCTACTGCCAGACTCTGAAATGCAAACGAGACCTCTTACGCTCTGCAGTGGGAGGAGTCCAAATTACCATAGGCTGAAAATGTGTCTTGAGCGAATCCGATTCCCCCTCCCCACACACATTTACTACATCAAGCATAAACAAGTGCAAGCTTTAGAAGACGGCCTTCCCATGTTTGCATCTCAAGGAATAGGGTAAGTGCATGGACCTAACTCCCTGTCCGATTGTTGCTTGCAATGCGTTTAGGATGAAGGGACCTTTTTTTGCATGTTCGGTGGCCGAGTTACTACAAAAGCTGTAGAATAGTGATAGAAATGTAGCCGTGTTAGTCTGGGGTAGTTGAAGCAAAATGCAGGACAATGTAGCACTTTAAAGACTAACAAGATGGTTTATTAGATGATGAGCTTTCGTGGGCCAGACCCACTTCCTCAGATCAAATAGTGGAAGAAAATAGTCACAACCATATATACCAAAAGATACAATTTAAAAAAATGAACAAATAGCTGTGCTACTGCCAACTATTATAGTTCTATTACTAGCTGCACGGGTGGCCTTTTAAAATACACACATTCCCAATTTCAGGGAGTACTTGCGGGGGTGGGGACACGGAGATGGTAATCTATGGCAGTTTGCAAATCCTCTTCATCGAGAAAGTCAGTAGGAAGGAAGGTAAGTAGGTACAAAGAGGTCATAATATGCGGTTTGAGTTTTAGACAGCAGGACCGGTTTTTTAAAACAGTGACTCGGTCTCTGCGTGAGCTTGGAGGGACTTCCTGGTTTGTCTCACTCTGCCAGTGAACCTGTAGGTAGGCAGAGGGCTCTCTCCAGGTACAACCAGAATTCAAGTCACAGGCAAGCTTCCAAATGCCACCGAGCGGGCAATAAGACATTTTAAACTTTCAATTGTTTTAGCTTTGTTTGTTGTGTCGGGAGAGGTGTTTCCAAGTTGCGCACTGAACGGCAAACCAATCCATCTGCAATCCCATCTTCCTCAAAAATTAATTTCACACACAACTGCAACGGTTCTAGATTCCGCCTCCACACCCAGCAGCAAGAATGGAGCGCTCAGCTTCTGAAAGGGCCTGCTCCCTGTTCGCCGCGGTGACGGATGCGGGCGGAGACTCTGCCATTGGATTTCTGTTCTAAATGTATTATCCTCTCTAAAAATAGGCTTTAAAAATAAAATCCGATTGCAATCTCCAAACTGCCTTTCTTCCCATTGCATTTCAGGACTCGAAGCACGGATAACTTTGTCTCTGCTTGTACTTGGGAGATGGGGAAAGGTAAAATCCATGTATTATGCTAGATCCGGTTAACTGTTGCACTGTACAAATATGGGCAAAACATTTTAAACTCTGCTGACATGCACTGAACTAGTAGAGATTGCGAGTAAGGGACAGAGTTGGGAGGAAAGACAGCCCGCTTAAAAGACTCAGACTCTCTCTCGCAGAAACGAGCAGCTACCGTGTATGTATCTCACATTTGCAAATGCCAAACCAGATGCTTCCTGTGCGAGCAAGATCCCTTTTTTCTAAACATCGACATTACAAACACGCTGCTAGTTTCAAAATGTCTCCCTGCCCGTTGGCATTTGCTGCTACAGCAAGACGCTTTTTTTGGCAGAGACTTGCCCTCTCTGTTTGCACTTGGGAGGCGGGCTCAGTGGATCCCCTGATTCCTAGCTGCTGTCTGTCAGTGAATAAGCCATCTGGAAATCGCTCCTCCCCGCTTTCTACTACAGACTTAAAACAAACAAAAAATTACTTCATTCCGCGTTGATATTTCATAAGGGGTAGGGGGGGCACCAAGACTTTTGCAGTGGCTTGATCTTCCACTTGAGCAACTTCCCTATCGGATACCACTGATTAGACAACCTCCCCTCCCTCGCACCGCTGTAATTAGCACTTTACAAGCATCTGCAACAGTCAACGTACTGCATCTGCCGGCTCCATCCCAGCTGGTAGTTACAGGAGCGCCGAGTTTGCAGAGACTTAAGAGGAGAGCGCGGGAGGCAAAGTCTCCCGTTTGCCACAAGGCTGCGCCCCGCTCACGTTGCAAAGCCTGCAACAGACACAACTTGCCCGCGCTGCATGACCCGGGTCGCCCCGAGCCACTCACCTTTTGCAACCCCGGGCTCGCCGGTGCCTGGAGGGGGGAAGGCG